CCCAGTCTCACTGCCTTTACTCCCCACAGATGTTGATCACAAAGGCATTCACCAACAAACTTTCTGCATGTACATCATATGTCTCCAACTCAGTGTCTGATTTCTGCAGAATTGACCTAAGGCTTGTGTGAATTAGAGGAGATAAGCCTGAAAAAGCACTCAGAACAGAGCATTGCACATAGTAAGCACTCAATGAATATTTGTTGAGTTGAAGGAATGAATGATGCTTTGTCCATATTGTAAATAAAAACCATTAAACAAGAGAGGTTAAGAGAACATCCATGACTACATAAACTTATCTATGTCTAAATTACATGGATAACAAAATTTAAAAGAAAGTTCGCACAGTTATTTGTAATATTTTGATGCTACTATTTTATAACCAGAAAAAGTCTTCATGATGTATGATTCTAGCTATAAACTGTGCAAGAGAAAGCTGTGAAATCAAGAGCCATGCATTATCAAAATTTTTTATTTTGTCCTAATTTTAGATCAGTTATGTTATTCTTCAGATCAGCATGACAAGTATTGAAATGGGAGTGACAGGCAATTTTTGTCACCCTATCTTTCTTGGAAACCTACACACTGTCTCATTTCTCACATTTGCCCTTCAATTCTGATTCTTGCTGCAGACTCAGTAAAGATGTAAAATCTCTTACATCTCTGCACCCTTGCTAGCACCAATGTGACAGACACACAAATATCTGGGATGCACTTTTCATTTGCCTGCCTCCAAGGCTGCTTACATCACCATTCAAGTCAGCTTGCTTCCTCCTTAGAGTGCTGCCTTCACTTTCAATCTTGTTCACCTTGGGGTTTTATTTCTCACAACGGTGTTACATATTCTGAATATGAAGAGGATATTAAATTAATGTATTCCCCAGACCACTCAAAGCAACTTTTAAAAAACAACCACTAAAAGAGTTCATCTGCCAACTCCCAAGTGCTGCGAGCACTCTGCATCCGCCTTTGCATTCATTTCCCTCCCATGCAAATATGCACACAGCCCACAAGGAAGGAGGCACAATTACCAGCCTTAACCAGATCAATCTCCTGAAATTCAATGTCAAAGAAACATCCCAGGATGTCAAAATTTACTTGCAGGCGACTCATCACCCCTTCTGAGATGGACTACATTATAATTCACAGGAGAGAATAACCTTCTCGGAGACACACATTTACATTACATAAAGCAGAGTTGAAAATAATCATGCTTCTCCACGAGCAAATGACAGTTACATAAGGATATTCTTCTACTTTTTGTGTGTCACTCATAACACTGCTTTCAAAATTACATCTGTGGAGAGGATGCTTGGAAAGGCACTGCTGTTTGCTACAAGCACTGTTCAAAACCACTCACAAATGCCTTCACCTTTTTCCTTCTTCTAAGTACACCTTGCTGAACTTTAGTATGTGTTATCCTCTCTAGAAAAAACCACGTAAAATACTTTCACCCTAGAAAGGTTTCTCGGAACATTTCCCCTCTGAGAGCTTTAAGCAAAGATTGTACATTAAATGGCTTCATAAAAGATCCTGAATAAAGGCTATTATCTACATGTAACATTCACTCTCACTATATCTCATGATCTAATGACATAAAGCAGTTTATTGGTCAATATCACTGGCCAAAGACAGAGAAAGAGGTATGACTCCAGCCATCTGGAAATCTATTATCAAGGTTAATGCATATGCCTTTCATTTCTAAAGATCTGGTTTCAGCTTCATCAGTTAAAAGTGAATTGGGTGGTCTTGTCTTACCCACATTAAAGAACCATTATGCAGTTTAGCCTAACAAAACACCATCAGTCATGAACATCATTTAGCAGAAGTCAACCTAGGCAAAATGTCCAGTCTGTTAAGTATGCCTCCTTCTCTAACCTCTCATTCCCTGATCAGGCTAATCGTGGGCAAAATTATAAAGTAGACAGAGTTAGTTTGAGGTTATTTTCAGTCTATTAGTCAAAAGCAGAGTGGGAGACACAGATATAGATTTAAGAATGGAGCAAGAGACAAAAATACGTGTCCTAGTCCTAGCTAGTCACTACCTCTCTGGGGCTCAGTATCTTCAGCTATAAAATGGGGATAACAACCACCCTCAAACTTTGAGGGCTCTTGGAATTGAAAGGTTCCCTTATCCCCGTCGCAGGATGTTAGACGGAGGTGTGGCTCACTGCCCCACCACTCAAACCCCTAGGGGAGTGACACATATACACCATGGAATACTATGCAGCTATAAAAAAGGATGAGTTCATGTCCTTTGTAGGGACATGGATGCAGCTGGAAACCATCATTCTCAGCAAACT